TATCTGGTTACAACAATCTGTTTATGGTTGAATCGCTTGGTTATATTCACAGCTTTATTTGTGTTCTGGGAATATTAAAACCATATCAGTATCATTATCAAACTCTTCCACGGCACTTATGTTGTGGCCGTAAAATTGCCTTTACAAAAGAATTCTAATCGCACCTTCATCCTTAACGAGAAAATGCTATTCATGAAACAATCTGATTAAAACAAAGATCCTATTCCATTTCGTTTTTTATAGTTCAAAATTTCGTTTTACTTGTTTTCACAACACTAGGATCTGGAAGAGTTGTTATATAACAGGCGTTCTAGTTGATGTGAGGAATTACCCAATGAAACAGTCTGTTACGGTGAAGAACTGTGGGTAACCCTTAGAAATGTCAACGCTGATTGATTAATTGATTAATTGTTGGCGTGTGACGTCATAGGTTCAAAAGCCGCTCGTATGATCCCTGATGCAAGCTCCCTGTACAACTGATCAGATCTTCATGATGTGTAGGCCAACGAAAGTATATAAAATAAAAAAAACGTAACGAAATATAGATCTGTATTTTAATCAGATTGGATTGAACGGTTCTTTCATTACGTGAATCTAATTTATAAAGTGTTAAACAAAAGACCTTAAAATTCTTTTCAACTCAGTTTGCATTAAAAATCCCAGATAAAATATTCAACATTTTAATAATAAAAAATAAAATATATTATAAAGCAAGTTTCACGAACTTATCAAAACAAACTTTTCCATGAATCAACTTGTCAGTTCAAATATAACCTAGTTTATTATAATTCATTTGATCAAAAGCCCTGATAAAGAATGAGGTAAAATATTGATGTAACCAGATCAAATATTGACTTAAATCCTTCAACTCAACGGAAAGTAAATTCCTCTATTACATTATAACCTGTACATATACTGTGTTGACTTTCAAGAATAAATTTTAAAGATAGATAACAGTAGTGTTGTGTGGAGAGAGAGAGAGAGAGAGAGAGACAGAGACAGAGAGAGAGAGAGGGGGGTTAAACGTCCACTCGACACAAACTAGGTCATTTCGGGACTAACATATGGTTTAATTTTTATTTCAATAATTCGCTTGCACACAAGGAGTAGGGTCGCCTGTCCAACCTCGTGGGTTTTCTCCAGGTCCTCCGGTTTCCTCCCACTGTCAAAGACTCCTGTGCCAGCAAATTATTGAAATAAAAAAAATAAACCATATCTTAATCCCGAAATGACCTAGTTTGTGTTGAGTGGATGTTAAACCTAAAGAAAGACCTGCAGATTTAGCTCTTACATAATATATGTTTAATCACTTAATGTTTTCAATATTTACTCTAAGTGAACATGGATGACAATATATTGAATAAAAGGGATGACTTATGTCTTAAAATGTCTTTTATATTTATAAATATAAATCACGATCTCCAAATGTTACACCCTTCAATAATTTTTTAATAAGGGCGTATATATATATATATATTGAAGAATGTTAAAGTATCAATATTAAACAATCTTTATTATACATGTACATGTATATAACAAAAACAGTCTTTGCATGAAATAAAAGATAATTTATTCTGCAGATCATTTACAAACTTAGTGAATCTTACAACCCTCAAAAATTTCTCAAATACAATGTTTGAAAACTCTAATTCTTAAATCAGTTGGCAACCAATTATATGGTTTGTTTGCTTAGAAATCTTAGTAGGGTCATCTGTCCAACCTCATGGGTTTTCTCCAGGCTCTCTGATTCCCTCCCACTGCTAAAGACCTCTACACGCAAGCGAATCAATGAAATAAAATTGAACCATATGTTAGTCCCAAAATGACCTAGCTTGTGTCGAGTGGACGTTAAACTCTCCCTCTTAGAATTTCTAATTTTATTGACTATGCATATTCGAATAATAATTTATCCAGATCTGAATAAACCAATTGCTTCTTTATAACTTTTAATTTATTCAGTATTGGGTTCAACTAAACTGTATACAGATTGCCTGGAGGCCATCACACGACTAGTCTATACAACCTGATGTCTAAAACCGCTAAGGTCTGATAGACCCATGCCTAGATAGTCACAACAAGTCTCCCATCAGTCCCCAACTCTGAAACTACTAAAAGCAACATATGTATAGCTACATATATAGACCATCTATACAACCTGGGGCCTGTTTCACGAAATTTTACAAAGATAAAATCCAAATTTTAGTAATTTGATTGAATAATATTAGATTGATCTTAATGCTTAGTCAATCAAAATTGAAGTATCTATTAAAATTTGGATTTTATCTTTAGATAAGATTTCGAGAAACAGGGCCCTGGTGTCTAAAACCGTTAATGACTGATAGAGCCATGCCTAGCTAGTCACAACATGACTACAATAAGTATCTCATTCGTCCCCAACTTTCAAACTACTAAAGCAACAGGTAGCTACATAAATAGACTGTTATCGGTAAGATTTTTAACCACAGATAGAAACTGAAATTGTTAAAGCAACATGTCGCTACTATACAGTTATCAGTGTGTCTCCTACAAACATTTTTTAACCACAGTTAGAAACTGAAATTGTTGAAGCAGCATGTCGCTACTATATACTGTTATCAGTTCGACATGTCTTCTACACACCTTTTTCAACCCCGGATAGAAAGTGAAATTGTTGAAGCGCTACCAACCATGTGTTTTGTTTACATAAAGTAAGTACACTGGTTGTCGTTGATAGTGAATCATCTTCTTTAACTACACACCTCTAATCTTAACGCCTCACATACCAAACGACGAGTAGCTCTATTAAAGTCACTGATCTCTACCATGCAATTTGGAGACAATAATTTATATTTCATGGCTTAATCCATGCTAAAATGTACTCAAATTATTATCAGGCACAGATGCAGGCATTGTCATGACACAAGACCTCTGGTGCCTGTCATTTTGTCTGGCACTGATTTTTGTGTTTTTTTATTGATATTATTAATACATGTCCAGCACTAAGTTGAAAATGTCAGGTACTATTTCATTAATGCCTGACATTTTATCAGGTACATCTAAAACCGTTATTTCCAGGCTTGATTATTATTTAAAATTAAATTAAGGAATCAAAATGTCATCAGTAGATTATCTCTGCCACCTGCAGTTAATCTGCATATCTTATTCAGATGTCGATACAGTTCCAAAAACCAAATTTTGTAGACATCCCTGGTAAAATTCTGTAGGCATGCCTACTGGTAGTCAAATTCCTTACACTTGACAAGTCAAATTCCTCAGACTTGCCTAGTTAAATTCTGTAGACTTGCCTAATACCTAACAGGAGTCAAATTCCTTAGACTAGTTAAATTCCTTCGACTTGCCTTGTCAAATTTCAGACACATACCCAGTCAAATTCTGCGGAGACATGCCTAATCAAAATTGAATATAAAAGAAGACTATATAATCAAAATGTCAACGCGCTTGTATACATTGTAAAGGTACGCGTGAGTCATTGATAAAAATAAAATATAATGTTATTCAAATTCAGCACCAATTTTCCCTTGCACCTTTTGTTAGAGCAATATAATGTGTGCATTAATTTCTTGTTAGCTATACATGTACAAAGAATACAAGCTTATTTTATATACAGTTTATTGTGTGCTTTAGTACATATAAATTGGTCTGTTCAATGAATTCGCATGTCAAATAATTTCCATTCTAACATGTCATTACCAAAGATAGATAAAAACACACAAAAGACGTCTGAGCATTCCACAAAGATTGTCATACTACATTTTCTTTTGCAGCTTTCACAAGATACTAAAAACTGATTAAATGTAGAAATCCATTCAGTAATTATAACATGTATCAGAAATACATCCATTTGACACAAATTATGTCATTTCGGGACTAAGATATGGTTCAATTTTATTTCAATAATTCGCTTGCCCGTAGGGGTCTTTAGCAGTTGAGGGAAACTGGAGGACCCAGAGAAAACACATGAGATTTGATAGACGACCCTACTCCTTGTCACATGCAACCAGGGAATCGAAAACACGCCAGTTAACTCAATGACAGACCTTATGATACAGTGCGCATGTGCTATCCATTCAGCCATCCAACCCCCCATACCATTATGAAAGCAGAATGTCACATTGCAACTTCATTCAGAAAGATACAAAAAAATTCAAAGTTGATTTTTTTTATAACTAATCAGAAAATGAGACATTTTCATAAACGTTCTTTATTCTTATCATACTATAAACTATTATAATTTAAAGGTAAAAAATAAACCTGAATGATGTTTTTTCCCTGTCTATTGTATAGGATTATTAGGAGTACAATAAATGCGGTGATATGCTAGACTACACATCATCCTGTTGAATCATCACATGCTTCAAAATATCAACTTTATATCATAGAATACCAACTTATCATAGAATATCAACTTTATATCATAAAATATCTACTTTATATCATAAAATATCTACTTTATATCATAGAATATCAACTTTATATTAGTGAGAGGCACAGGGAGAGGCACAACTGTATGGTGCATGCTTGTCTTCATTAGCCCAGTCAGAGCAGAACAGTAGGACATTAAATCCCATTTCATTTCATTTTTCTTGCTATATAACCAGAATATAAAATACAGTCTGATCATCACACTCTGATCATCAACTTTTGCCTAGAACAACCTTGTAGTTTCCAGCATTTCCATCTATTTTTTATTAAATTCCTACAGCCAAGGGTTCTTTTGCATTGGTGCCAATGTGTACAAATACATAAGACCTGCACCACTGACAAGGGCAAACCACTCTGGATAAACCAGAGGAACTGTCACAGTCAAGACCTGGATTGAACCACACTGAGTCACCTTGACTCCCTATTGTAATCAAAATATGACAGATGCTTCATAGCTATTTTATCCCTAGAGATCATGTAGCCATCCTCTAACTCTACTGACCATTCACATAAAATCACACACCATTTTGTCAAATCGGTAAATATTTCATAAACAACATTAGTTTAAAGGTACTTACATTTCTTAATCGTCTGTCACTTTCGTGTTTCAAATGTTCAGACCTGAAAAATAAAACAAACCAATCAATAAACATTTATAACAGATTTTCTCCATGTAGATGACAATTAGCATAAGCCATATAGTGTGCCATTTTAGTTTCAAACGTGTAGCATAGTGGTTAGGATGGGACAAAAAATCAAGAGAGAGAGAAATGGGGTTTAACGTCCACTCAACACAAACCAGGTCATTTTGGGACAAACATACGGTTTACTTTTATCGCAATAATTCGCTTGCACGTATGGGTCTTAAGTAGTGGGAGGAATCCGGAGGACCAGGAGAAAACCCACAGGGATGGACAGGCGACCCTACTCCTTGTCACGTACAATCGGGGAATCGAAACCATGCCAGCTGACTCAATGACAGACTTTATGATACAGCGCGCACATGCTAACCATTCAGCCATCCCCCCCCCCCCAAAAAAAATCAAGGTTCACCTGTGTACATATTGGTGTGCATGTCAAAGAACCCTCAGAAGTTAGAATTTGATGAAGAATAGGCAGAAACGCCACAGTCCGGGCAAAATTCTATTCCCTATCACTGCATACATGAGTATAGCAAAACAATAACCATATGTTAGTCTCAGAATAAACAATAAATGTGTTGACAGAATGTCAAACTCCACTCCTTTATAATATTTGTTTACAATTTTTATTTTGTGTGAACTAAGGCATATTCTTTAAATTCACTTTCTCGATTCCTCGGTTGTACGTGACAAGGAGTAGGGTTGCTTGTCCATTCTCATGGGTTTTCTCCGGGTCCTCCTGTTTCCTCCCACTGCTAAAAACCCCTACACGCAAGCAAATTATTGAGATAAAATTGAACCGTATGTTAGTCCCAAAATGACCTGGTATGTGTCAAGTGGACATTAAACCCCATTTATCTCTCCCTCTCATTTAAATCCACTTTAACATGTGGGATGGGATGGGGTATAACAAGTTATTGTCAATGATTACTTCTAAATAAGGTAAAAGATGTTTACAAACAAAAAAAAATCTACATAAACATTAAACAGTTGTTTTGCTTGTTTGGTTGCACCTCTACATGATTTTTAACCAGACGACTAAGATATCTTTTTACACAAGTTACAAGTCTAAACGTTATTGTTTGATTACCAGGAAAAATAAAAAAGTTATGTCTCCTTAAAGAGTAAAACTATGAATTTTTAAGGAAGAACAATTATTAAATTTTTTGGGTGACTTGCTTGAATGCATTCAGAGGGGGCTAGATGGCTGAATGGTTAGCGTGTGCACGTTGTATCATAAGGTCTGTCATTGAGTCAACTGACGAGGTTTAGATTCCCCGGTTGTACATGACAAGGAGTAGGGTCGCCTGTTCAACCTTGTGGGTTGTCTTCGGGTCCTCCGGTTTCCTCAATGACAGACCTTAGGATATAGTGCGAACGCACTAAGCATTCGGCGATCCAACCCCCCGGCTACTCTTTACAACTCTAAGAAAAGAAAATTAATAAAAAAAATAAAATATATCTTTCATAGAAATGATAACTGTTCATTTAATTTTAAATTAGAACATATTTCAACCTAAATCATGAGATTTATGTATTTGGTATAGATACAGATATAATACACTTTTAGCTTCAGGTAAAAAAAATCAATTTTTCAATGAACACAAAAAATAACTTTTAATATTTTTATCCAAACAAACAATAAATAAATATATATGTTACCTTTTCAACGTGAAAAAAAACTCACTACTATAATTGTACAAACTCCAGTAAAAACACAGAGAATTAAAAATAAGTCCCCAGATCTCGGCCAAAACAAACTCAAATAAACATCTTGCTTCGTCTAAACTCAATAACTAAAGTGTTCGAGTCAGCACACAGTATGTGTCTTAATCCGTAACAGGCCTCACCTAATAGTGTATCTATGACCTTATTTTAAACATTATAAAGTTATTAAGGTTGTCTATTGAATAAAACTCCTTAGCGTACCTATACAGAGAGGTGTATATAGAGTCACTCAAGGTAGATATAGACAACTAGGACCCGACGGAACCCTGGGCAAGTGACAAATTACTTTCAATAAACACAGCTAAACAGAGATATATATATAGTCGCTCAAGGTATTTAGGCAACTAGGACCCAAAGCCAAGCAAGTGACAAATTACTTTCAATAAACATAAGATGACATATTTTCCATAGAGAGTATTTTTTATGCAATTTGATAAGACATTGTTTGTACATAGTTTTACGTAATTTAATGGCAATATATAGTCAGACAGTCGATATGTGATGATTTATTAGGGTTCAGGTATTTCCTCTTGTAAAAACTTTGACATTAAAATGCACATAAAGTGAACTGCAGAAGGCTTAATTTCAAATATTAATTGAAATGGAGAATCTTGACAAAGCAGCAGCAGCAGCAAGTTCCCTTGCTCACACTATCTATGATGACTTACTGGGGTCGACATATTTCCTCTCGTAAAAACTTTGATGTTAAAATGAACACAAAGAACAGTGAACTGAAGAAAGCCCAACTTAACTTAATATTTCAATTAAAACAAAGAATCTTGACAAGGCAGCAGCAAGTTTCCTTGCTCAAACTAACCTCCAAGATCATGAAACTGGATTTGCCTAATGATTTTATTTCTGGTAAAATATACAATTCAAAAATATCCTGTTGAACATATTTCATAAAGTACGATAAATATGGACAGAGTTAAGGATTCCATAATCGATGATCTACAATCCTTAATCACATTTATGTCAATTCCTGTAGATCCAAATTAAAGGGTCCATTGCAGATTTTGACTCTGACTAGAATGTTGGGACTGAAAAAAAAGCTTTGCCTAGTTTATCTGATGGGACAAAAATTTGAAGTCCATTGGTGTACACACTTCACTAGTCAGAAATAATGCTGCCAGAGTAAATTTTTCCTCTTTTGCATGTGAATAAAACTTGGCTATTCAGTCACTATCATTAACAATCAAAAGTAAGAACTTTTTCTAGCGCCTAGAGTATTCCCTAATAGATTGAATATCATTTTCATTATTTATCATTATGAAAATCTAACATTATAGGGGTTGGATGGCTGAACGGTTAACGCATGTGCGTTGTACCATAAGGTCCATCATCGAATCAACTGGCATGGTTTTGATTCCCCAGGTGTACATGTAAGTGACAAGAAGGGTTCTCTGGTTTCCTTACACTGTTAAAGACCCCAACACGCAAGCGAATTATTGAAATAAAACTGAATCATGTGTCAAGTTTACGTTAAACCCTATTTCTCTCTCTCTCTCTAAAATTATAGATTAAAAAATACAATCTGTTAGTCTTAAAATGATGAAAACATTTCACTCACACGAAAAATTCTGTCTCAAACCATTATCACAACCACGTACAGTATTTTACCGTTTCATATATCATTTTCAACTTTCGAGTTCAATACCCACAATTCTCATCAAATGAAGTAATGATGCCCGATAAATTAACGGCAATAAAAATAACTCTGTGATATAAATTGTTTTGTTGTTATCACGTTTTCCGCCATAAATAAAGTAGTTGGTGTTTATAAGTATAACATAAACCATGTAGATAATGGCAATTTGATGACAGATATAATCCTGTCAATTTGCTTCAAGACTTTTTAACATACCCCATTTAATATTCATATTCTCATTATTTATAACATCCTAAACTAGATCTTTATTTACGAGTTGACATAAACATTCCGAGATACAGAAATATGAGCTATTATCTATATATACTGTGTGTATAACCCAACACAAACTAGGTCATTTCGGGACTAACATATGGTTCAATAATTCACTTGTGTGTAGGGGTCTTTAGCAGTGGGAGGAAATCGGAGGACCTGGAGAAAATGCACCAGATTGGACAGGCAACCCTGCTTCATGTCACATACAAACGGAATCGAAAACATGTTACTTGGCTCAATGGTATACCTTATGAACCAATGCACTTGCGCTAACCATACTGCCACCCAAGCCACCCAGAACCTGAAGAACTTAAAGGAGCTAAGTCGCTAATATTTGGGACCTAGAAATTGACACAAATGGGTCGCAACGCATACAATAATGTAATATGAATGTATATAAATTGATTTACATTCAATCATTTCCGTTTTTACTGTAATTTTTAATCAGTTAGGTTCGGCGAAATACCCCAGTATTCTCAATCGAATTTCAATCTCTAGCTTCTGGTTATTCCAGTCTACGCCGATAGTATTTATAGGGCATGCTCTCCAGATAAGAATATAGCGTCACCGTTTGACATGACTTGTGGAATATGCCTAGCCTCCTTTTTTGAGTCCCTTATTACAAATAGCGCTGAAACACATTATGGTACACGATTCGTGTACCAATCGTAAAATGTTTATTTTGTCTTAAATATTGGATATCAGAAGGCCATCTTTTCCCGTTAAGATCACAACATTAATGTTGATTTAAACCGACAAATAAATCGTGTTTTCAATGTCGAAGATTTTGGGTGATATTGAGTAAGAGACTTAGCTACTTTAAAAATAGATTTTTCTGAAGTAATCAAGCAATGTCACAATATAAATACATTATGTATAGACATTTCAGGTACTTTGATAAAGCTTTGGGCAGGTAAGTTAAAAATTCTTTATCATTAAAACTTGTCACAATATATAAATACATTCTGATATAGTTTTATTCTGTAAAGACATTTCAGGTACTATAAAGCTATGGGCGGTAAGTTAAAAATTCCTGATCATTAAAACATGCCACAATATATATAAATACATTCTGATAGTTTTATTCTGTAAAGACATTTATTTCAGGTACTTATACAGCGATGGGCGGTAAGGTAAAAATTCCTGACCATTAAAACTTGACAAAACCACATTCTCTTCTAATTATAAAACTTACGCAATCGTGATATAAAGAGAATAATTCTACCGCCTGGAGAAATAAACAACAATAGCTTATTTAGATAATTAACATATTTTTATATATATAAAACATGTTTCTTTGAAGAGTAACGTAAGAAATGATGACTCAA